GAATCTCTTCCATGGCAAGATCTGCCCTGTTTACCCTTCCTTAACTCTTCTAAGGCATGTCTACTGCCTTATCTACACTTCCTCAACTGAACTATGGCGTTTCTCTCAGTCTATTCACCATTCCTCCACTATACTAAAGAGTTCCGACTGCCCCATACACCCTTTCCTTAACCCTTGTGTGGTGTTACTGTGATGTGTTTGTTACTCAGTGGTCTGGTGGACCCCCGCATTATTATTATTATTATTATTTTTTTAATCAATACAGCTATAACAATTAATGTAAAAATATCAGATGTTTAAAATATCACAAGTGGCCAGTGTAGTGTTCTCCTTTAGCGGCTGTAGCCAGTTAGCAGCCTGTCCATGTTGTCCACCCTCTCTCAAACACACACACACACACACACACATATATATATACATATTGTGGTGGCTTACTGTCCTGTGTTGTGGCTTTCGGCCCTGTATGTCCTCTAGTTCATTTGCATATTGCATGTGAGCCTTCTCAGGAGCTGCTGTGCTGTTTATAGCTGTCTGTTTCTCAGTGAGGCTGTTTACCATTTATGTTGTATGTTATATTGAAACTAGCCTGTGGGATTTGTTGAAGGTACTTACTTTCCAGGTACATGAAATGTCAGTGATTTTTTCACTACCCACTGTTTAGACCTAGGTGTTCAGTCCTCTGGTCAATGACTTAGCGACTTAAAAGGCCAGTGCTCCAAGTGAAAGTATGACAATAAAAGATATATGTATGTGGCAAAAAATGCAAATAAATGGGTGTTAATCCTTTTCTGTTTTTTAATGTGAGATTTACAAAATGGGAAAATACCCCCTTTAAAAACAATGTCCATTTACTGTAAAGCTAAACCATATCTGTGCATGTGTTTAGCATGTATGCATTATGATTATCCATAAACTTATGCACAGTAAGGGGACATAAACTGGGACAGCAGATAGTCTTGACCAAAACTGGCCCAAACAATAGAGTCTCCAATGATAAGTTTACAAAACATAATAATAAAAATAATTTATAGGGAATCATTATTATTATTATTATTATTATTATTATTACAATTGTAAGAGCGGATGTAACTCTGCCAAGCATACAAACTCAAATTGGCTAAAAATATTGCCTAGCATGTCATTTTAATATTAGCTAACAAGTAAAACCCCAGTGAACAACTTTGTATCTTTCTGATGAAAATGTAACTCAGTTACATTTTGGGGATTCTTACATTAAAGGTCTGACTTTACATTTTTGCTTCAAAAAAATAAAGGTTTTTTATTCTCTCAGAAACCAGTGAATTGCTATGCACACAACCCTGCTACAACCATATATTTTTAACAGTTTTATACACCTTGTTTAACAATCATAGAACACTATCATCCAATCACAAGACTGATCTTGTGGCATCCCACAAGGCTCAGTTTTAAGCACTATGTTGTTTAATTAAAAATGCTTTCTCTTGCTGGTATAGTTAAGATATTTGCTTTCAACATTATGTAGACACTGATGTAGTGCAACATTTGGGGGCTACACTGCAAAAGCAGAAGTTGACACCCCCTTATCCAAACCCAAAAACACATTTATTGTAGAAATTCCCATTTTTCAGCTGTCACTTATACATTTTTAATGTAGTAATTAATTTCAGTGGCAACCAGTGCACACTGAGTTGCCAGTTTATTACCCATTTTATTCCCACACTCATTGGCCATATCATCAGGTACATTTACCATATGAGTGCTGGGCACTTTAGCACTGTTAATGAAGGAAGTTGAAGAGAATTGCTTTGAAAAAAACTCAAGGCCACTGACAGGTTCTAAATTCAGTGTTCCATGTTTGAGCGGAGAGTGTGGCCTAACCACAAAAACACAGGAAATGATACCAGCAGTTCTGCAGGGACAACTTCAGCACTTAAACAAGCCAGTTCAACTGCTTTTTATGCAGCCTAATAAACTTCTCATGACTGTAGAAACCCATTTTTTGATGCAGGCTTGGTTTTGGACCTAACAACTCTGTAACACGACTTCTCATGACTCATTACTTCTTATTACTTTACTGAAGAAATATCATGTTTTCCCAGGTGGGAACAGTAGCATTAGCTTTAACATGCTGTCACAACTGGTATGCACATTGTTGGCTGCCAGGGAGTGTTGGTAGCCGATTGTTCATCATAGTTTGCACAGAGTGTCCTGCACCATTGGCTCTAGTCGGGTGTCGTCAGTGCTGTTTTTATCTACTGAGCTTGTTGAATTGATGTTGTTGATCAGCTGTGAGAAAGTTGAGAATCAACACATGAGGACAGGAACAAAAGACACAGCGCTTACAAGAGGGCACACACAGAAAATAGTCAGATTTTTCATTCAAGTAGCAAGTTTGCTTTTCAAACATCCACTTGACTGTTGACTGTTGGTATAATGTTCTTATGAGAAATGTGATGTTAGCTTTACACCAGATGTAACGGTACCCATGTCTTCCAGAACGTTCTACCTTTGACTCATCAGCCCACAGAATACTATTCCAAAAGTCTTGTTTTGTCATCTAGATGTTTTTTGGCAAATGCGAGATGAGCCTTTGTGTTCTTTTTGTTCAGCCGTGGTTTGCGTCTCACAACTCTCCCATGGATGCCATTTTTGCCCAGTGTCTTTCTTATTGTGAAATCGTGTACATTAATCTTAACTGGGCAGAGTGAGGCCTGCAGTTCTTTAGATTTTCATCTAAAGAAGGTAGGTCAGTCACTCCTGGGAAGATTCACCACTGTTCCAAGTTTTCTCTATTTGTGGATAATGGCTCTCACTGTGGTTTGCTGGAGCCCCAGAGCCTTAGCAATGGCTCTGTAACCCTTTCCAAACTGGTAGATTTCTGGTAGATGACTTTGTTTCGCATCTGTATTAGAATATCTTTAGAACGTGGCATCATGTGCTGCTGTTTGAGACATTCTAGCCTGCTTCTCTTTGCCAGTCAGGTTCTATTTAAGTAATGTTTAGATTCAACAGGTCTGGCAGTCATCATGCCTGGGTGTGGCTAGTGAAATTAGTCAATTGAATTTGGTTAACTGGTTGATTTAGTAGCTAAGGGGGGGAATTACTTTTTCGCATAGGGCCAGGAAGGGCTGAACAGCAATTTTTCTTCAGGAAATGAAATCATAACTTAAAAACACCATTTTGTGTTTACTTGGGTTATCTTTGTCTAATAGTAAAAGTAATTTGAGGATCTGACACATTTGAAGTGTGACAAATATTGAAAAAATAGAATAAATTAGGAAGGGGGCTAATACTTTTTGTATTTGCATCACCTTACCAGACTTTTCTGGTGAAAGGTACAACTCTCCCGGCTGTTTCTAATTTGTAACATTTCCACTCCAACAAATAGTAGGTGCTCAGAACAAATTTAGCATTTTCTTTTGTAGCCCATATTTCCCAAGAAGACATTTCTCATTCCCAAAAACCAAAATGTGTTTTGGTTGTACACTAATTTAGGAATTTGGGGTAAATTATTACTATTAATTAATATGTTCGAAATTATTATTAAGTAATACAACTAGCAATAAGATAACAAAAGAAATAGTAAGGATTTTCTCAGTAGCTGAATGAAATTTGACCACTTAATATTAGAACTATTATTAGAAATCCTGTGATGTTAGTTCTTAGTTACATACACACACACACACACACACACACACACACACATATATATATATGCAACTGTCTGGGCCTCTGAGAGCTTCAGACCACAAAGCTGGAAGTGGCTTAAACACTGACGACAGTCCACTGCAGATGCAAAAATTGGATAGATGTTGAATATGTCATGACTAAGCTAAATAAACACCCTCTAGTCCAGACCCTAACAATTTATTTAAATTATTATTTAATTATTATTATTTATTTAATTAAAAGCTCCCTAACATCAAAATGTGCAGAAATATAACTGTTACAACTGTGCATGTAATAATAGGCCTTTTGCACAATGAATAAGAATTAATCATGTTGCTCTCTTTAAAGTAGACATAAAAACAGGCTGTTGATTGAAGTTATTTTTCATGGCTTTTTTTTTTTGTTGTTGTTGTTTTCTGCATTAGTGTCAGAGTGTGGGAAGCTTGTGCCCAGGGGCCTTGTGAGTCAATGATCTGTCCCTCAACACCATGTCAGCATTAGAAAGAAAAGCAGAGAAAAGCTTTATATTTACATTGCAGATTGTCCTCGGTTTAGTGACTGAAGCTCAGTCGATATCATCACTCCTGTTAATTGTGGGAGTAGATCCAGGGCACCTTCAAAATCCAGAGTGAGTGTTTTAGCGTTACACAACTTCACCACACACCCACTGTTGTCTTTGTACTATTTTCAGTTAAATGCAGGATTTAAATGATTTGCAAATCATTGCATTCTGTTTTTGTTTACATTGTCACAAATTTTCTGGAAACTGGGTTTTGTGTGTTTGTGTGTGTGTGTGTGTGTGTGTGTGTGTGTGTGTGTGTGTGTGTGTGTGTGTGTGTTTCTGTGTACATTAAAAACCAGCACTACTATACTATAATTGCATCACTGGACTGGCATGGATTCAATAAGATGCTGGAAATATCCTGGTGTTTGTTGACATAACTGAATAACACAATTCCAGATTTCTCGTCTCTAATTCAACTACATTCTACAGCTCTGTAGGATTCAGAGTGCATTTTTATGTTGGAAGTAGCCATCAGAAGAGTAAATGATGGTCATAAAGGAATGGTCAGTAACAATACTCTTGTGTCATTAACACCATGTGCCATTGTACACATTGGGGTCCAGTGTGTGCAAATAAAAACATATCTCTAAATGCATTTGTAAAAACCTTTTCATTATGACTTCAAACTCAACTCTTTATCATTTAAAAATGTTTTTAGAAATGAACACTGTTGGAACCATTAAATTGTTGTTGTAACGTAAGTGACGCACACTGTTCTATTATGGTACAATCACTTTGTAATACTGACCGTTGCATAAAATAAAGGTGTTAGCCACATGCAGCCTGACTGCTTGTGCAAAGTTTAGTACTTCCAGGAACTCATCATTTGGTATATAGGTGTTGCAGACTTGTCTTACCAAGGTAAGAAACTTTCTGAATAATTAAATACTGAATAAGATCTCAAGTAATTAAATAAGCAACATTTTTCATTGTTGGAATCTCATTGTTTTATTGTTTAATCAAAAACTATACTTTTTTTAGAACATTTTAGATGACAATTTTTAGGTGATATATTGAGAAATCTTTTTGTAATATCCTTTGGAATCGGACTAGGAATTACAAAGGAATAACATAAAAATTAATTAATGTTTGTGTTCTCCAAACAAAAATGTTAAGCATTAGCAAATGAGATTTTGGCACCATTTACGGGAATGATGTACACAATACAAAGAAAATGAATATTAGGTGTAGACAGAACATATATATATATATATATATATATATATATAAATGACACAACATATTTGTTGCAAGTGTGGTGGACGTTAACTCCACTACACTTCTAACCTTTGCATCTAGTCGCTGGGCAATATACTGTATATCATAATATATAATATCATATGTCTGTTGTCAAAATGTAGATTTGACATTTATAGAGGCAATGCATCCAAAATCTTGTTTTTTGTATTTTTTGTAACTCAAAAATAACTTCGGCACATAATCATTAGCAAACTTGAGAGGTTTTTAGTCAATTTGTCCCTCAGTTACCAGTGATCTTAATTTATAGAGTATTTTTTATGACTAAGTAATTCTTTAGTAGTACTAAAAAATAGCCCAACAGCTGGTTCACAGCACCAAATGCTGGGTAATGGGGTGAGAGAGAAAGAAATAACCCAGCATTTCAGCATTTTTAGACTGTAAATAATAAAATCACGTAAAAAAGAATTGATCATCATCATCATCCTCATCATACATAGATCAGCTGAAAATAAAAAAATCCAACATTCATGGTTAAGTTAATCCAGCACTGTGTAAAAAAGACTCCAGAGTTGGTTACTGTAACAACCCATCACACCGATTATATTATTTGAGTATTCTGGCGTCCCGCCACTGACTATGCTACCACAAGAACATGTGAAGGGGCTCTCGGGAGGCTCTGCACTTGTGGTAGGGGAAAGATTTATTGTTGTTTAAGTTGTTGATGCTTGTTTAACAAGTGTTCACACGGTGGTTGTGCTATTCTGTGCTGGGTTGTTGGGAAGTTGTTAAGTGTCTACCCTGAAGGAGAGTTGTATGGTTAGAAGTGACCTGCCTGCTTCCCAGCCATACTTCAGGAAGGCGCCCACATCGCAGTTGTTCAGGCATCTGCTCTGTGGGGTCACCAGGAAGGCTGATCTTTGAAGAGAGGCTATGTACTGTCCCAACACTGGTCTGGCTAAAATTGACCTGCCTGCTTCTCAGCCGTATTAGCTAGCGCTGAGCTATAGTTCTCCCTTTAATTTGCCTTTAAAGCACTACATTTCCTGCCTCTATGTTTTTGCTAGCGCTACAGTATTTTAACCGTTGTGATGGTTACAGTGACCCAACTTTGCCAAATAAACCAGGTTGGGTTGTTTTCAGCCCAGCATTTAATATAATAGCATTTTATATAAACTCAATATTTAAGATAATTTAGAACCCAACTACAACCAGACTAAAAAACTACTTAGAGTACAGATTTGAATTTTTTGCTCGTTTCCTGAATAAAATAAATTTATTTTTTTGAATGCTTGAATGCTTTTTTCATGGAAATCCATGATGTGTCCTGTCATGCTGTCAGGCTGTAGGTGTGAAATGACCCAAAGGCAACCCTGTAGTATTGCTGTGATCTGACAGTGTAGAGAATGTTTAACACCATCAATAGTTCTATAGGCTGGTGAGGGAAAGTTTCCTCACCATGTTGCTTTTAGCCATAGTTGTTCTTTTTCTTCAGCTATCTGCTCACACAGGTACAACAGTATTATTGAACTGCTGCCATCTTCAGGTCAAGTTGTTAACTCTCTGTAGGTTAGAGGTCACCTTAAAAATTTAAACAAATTGTATTGTTGACAATATCAATAATGTTGAATAATTGTTTCAACACTAGTTCTAATATTAACAACTACGTAGATGTATATATATCATAACTGCTAATATAATCAGCTCTACTAATATAGATTTTCATGAAGCTAGAGCAAACTCAGCAACCAGCATCCTGGTGGACAGTAAAATTTTTGTTTATACTAATCCACGACAAATTTAATGACTGACATTTTTGCTTTGTACCTTACACACTTAAAGGCCACAGCCACAGTGATGATGGTTCATCCTCTTTCTCTGATTCTTCTGCTCATGATGCCAGGTGAGTTGCTACTGAAACGATGTCACTTAAACAATAATTTATCCATCTTTTCTTTCTACATAAATAAAAGCATATCAGTAGACATATCAAGCCAAGAAGATTTACATGTTGATGGTGTGTCCTCACTGGTCAGTGAGTACATGTAGACTAACTTCTTTATTTCTTCCTCCAACACAATCACTTAAACAGCTCAGCTTGCAACATACAACTTAAACAACACAACGGAAAACAGCATGTAAGTTTCTGGAAACCATAAACAACGTTCTGAGTGTTGTTTTTTAATACCAGTAGGTGAACTTATCACTTAAAAAACAAATATATATGTCATCCAAGGACAAATAGATACAGCTAGAAAGACATGTAAAGGTATCCAAAACTTCTGCAAAAGAAGAAAGTTGTCTCAGAATCATTAGATATTGTTAAACTTATGATAGCAAAGAGCCAATCAGGGTGGACATACAGGGTCTGCCACCACACTGCCACCTTCATAGCGCTTGCCACCCCACTTTCTACCCAATTCTGCAGCCCCTAAAAAAATGTAAAAATGTAAAATGCAAAATGTATTAAGCACAGTGTGCTCAAAAACCCAAAACTCACCTGACATATTACCTCTGATTTTTAGAGTAGATAGGCCTGTTTTCCATTTAGCTAGCTAGCAACTCAGGGCTCGGATCCATTCAGTATGATGACTTTGTAGTTATTCTGGTTCTGTATTTATGTCGGTATGGTCATCCTGCTTTATTTCAAACCAAAAACAAGTCAAATAAGTTCAGTTCACTTATACAGCCTCCAAATAAATGAATGCAGTGAACGGTCTCCAATCATTTAATAATATCAAGGTCAAGGTCAAACCATCAATCCAATAATTGCTAAATTTATATATATATGTGTATATATACTATTGTATATATATACACATTCATGTATAAATACATATAACTATTGTACTATATTTCACTTCATTAGAAAATATGTAGAAGAAACATAGATGATACATAAAAACCTTTCAATATAATATGTAATATATATGAGAAATACATACAAGCCATCCATATAAGAATAATGTTTCTGTCATATACTGTTAAATATATGTGTTGCACATATGTTTACTCACTTATGTTTGTATATGCTGATATATGGCTGTAATTTGTCCCATATATGAAAATTTCAAATAAGTTGGTGTATATGTCACATATATGTCTACATGTCACAAATGTAAGTTTGATATAAGGAAAATCCATATGTGTTAATATATGTTATATATTTAAAATCCATGTGTTGCCATATCAGATTTCCATATGGGCTTGGTTCCAACTAAGTTTGGAGGATAAAGAGTCATATATGAGTAAGGTTGACTGACAGGTGTTGGAATGACAGCTAGAATTGAACGTGTTCTGTGGTGTGTGTGACTATTAGCGTGTTTGCCGTTGATAAGCTACTATTGTGTGAAGTTTTTCTTTCCTGGTCCTGATATTTATCATTAGAGGAGAAATACTGTAGACTAGCCATCTTGCACTGCCATGTAAAATAAAAATCTGTTGATGTGTACAATAAAAACTAACTAGCTAAACAAATAAATGAACACATTTTTAGTTTTGAATAAAGATTTTGTATGTCTTAATATACAGATTGATATAATCAAGGTCATCTGTGATTTTAATTATATGGAATCTAGTGGTCAACCCACCAGAAATCCCCCAAACTTATATAGTAGTGTTAATGAGAGATAATTTCCCTTCAGGCCACTTATAATTTTTGTCACATACATAAAAATTTGCTTGCTGTGAAATTTTTCTTCATGGACCTTTTTATAGTTTGGTTTAATAAAACATAGACAAAAGAGGTCAAAGGAGGGAAAATATTTATAAAGAAGAAATGGAAGAAATTTAAGACTATGCATCAGTAACCGGAGTATTTATTTCTCTACTCACTCTTATTTACTATCTTTGCCTCTGCAGGACTCCTTCTGCACATAACTCTACAGACGCTCTGTATAGTAAGTCACACTAGCCATTTCACCATAAGATATGTGTATGTGTGTATGAAGTTTAGGGGTTTGGGGAGGGAGGGTGCAGTAATTGTACTAATAATTTTTTGTGGCACTTTGTTCTCAGACTTACTAAAATATTCTTAATAGAATCACTTCACTGATTAAGTAATAACATAAAGAATATTTTTTTCAGCACCAACATTCATACACATGCACTTTGACTGTGTTCCAGACACTCCAAATAAATGAACTGTTCAAATGCTAATGCAGTTAGTTTAGCCATTAGCCTAACAGTTAGCTTAGCATTAGCCTACTTCCAGTTTTACTTCCACTTGTCTTGTTGTATCTTAGCATAGAACAGCTTAGCTTAGCCTTTTGTTTATTTACTAGGACTATTTTACTTCTTTTATTTATGCTTCTTATATTTAGTTATTTATCTGTATTCTGTGTTAGCTCAGTGTTCATAAAAACCTTCTGCATTAGTGGTCATCCCTGATCTAGTCTGGTTATTATAGGATGCAATAATTTTGCTTCCTAGCGGTAACGTTAGCTATCTACCTTCCGCTGCATTCACCAAGAAAACAAAATCGTAACAGCTCGGCCCTAAAAATCCTCCCCAAAAACAGCAAAACTACAACCTTCAGGACACATTGCCAAAGAGGGTTTCTCACTCTCACTCTTGAGACCACCGCAGCACTGCGGTAGGATGTAAAAAAGCATGTTTATAACAGACATAGCAGAGTGGTCCTTTAAGTCATGTTAAGATGTCATGTTCTCTGGACTACAGAAATGTACAGGTTTAACCTGATGATTCTGAAATGACTAGAAATGTAACATCAAGAATAAAGTTATTATAAAATATCCAAATATTTTATAAGAATTGTGTGTTAGTGTGTGTTGCGCTGGTACAAGTGGATCAGACAGAGTGTTTTTAAACACCTCAGTGTCACTGCTGGACTGAGAATAGTCCACCAACCAAAAATATTCAGCCAACAGCGTCCTGTGGGCAGCGTCCTGTGACCACTGATGAAGGACTAGAGGATGACCAACAGAAACTGTGCAACAGCAGATGAGCTATCGTCTCTGACTTTACATCTATAAGGTGGACTGACAAGGTAGGAGTGTCTAATAGAGTGGACAGTGTTTAAAAACTCCAGCAGCACTGCTGTGTCTGATCCACTCAGACCAGCGCAACACACACTAACACACCACCACCACGTCAGTGTTTCTGCAGTGCTGAGAATGATCCACCACCCAAATAGTACCTGCTAGGACTACTGAAGAACAGGGTAAAAGGGGGCTAACAAAGTATGCAGAGAAACAGATGGACTACAGTCTGTAATTGTAGAACTACAAAGTGCACCTATATAGAGCTGATAAAATGAAATATATATAAAAATATATATAAAAATATATATATTTATGATGAATTAATGTAAAATATTGGGGGTTTTTTTTCATCAGCAACATCAGCCCCTCTAACACAAACTATCAGCAAGAAAACCCAGACAGAAGGTGAGTTCATTTGAATACACTGTGTTAGTGCAACAGAAATCACCAGTAAAATTCTTATTAGGGTTTAATGTTGTGAGGTTGTGAAAAGGAAAACAAGGTGAGTCAAACTTCCTACTGGCTCCTACATCAAAACATAGTTTCAATTGTTTTGTTGAGTATTTCATCTAAAAGAGAGAGAATGGGATGTGAAAGGATGTCTATAGTGGATGCTGGACTGCTCAACTTTTATTGCGTGCTTTGCACAAGTATTATTCTCTGAATCTGAACCAGGTCTAATTCACAGTCACAAGCAAAGATACTTTCTCTAGATAGAAAAAGCACTTTTTGTAAGTCACTCTGGATAAGAGTGTCTGCTAAATGCTGTAAATGTATATCCACATTGAGCAGCACACTTTTCCAGTCTAAACTCTCCAGTTCATCTACAGTCATCTACATTCTTTACTTCTAGGCCCAACAAATGTGTGTTAGTCCATCTGGTGAAATAGTGGAGGGTAGTTTAGTGATGCTGACATGCTATAATTTAAGCAATCTGACTGTGAATTACACCTGGTTCAGATTCAGAGCATAATGCTTGTGCAAAGCATGCAATAAAAGTTGAGCAGTCCAGCATCCACTATAGACATCCTTTCACATCCCATTCTCTCTCTTTTAGGTTGGGTTGAAAACCAAAATAACTGCACTGCTCCACAACTTAATGCCATGCTCTAGAGCTGTGTGAATGCACAAACAGAGCTCTGGTGAATCTGTACTGAAGAGGACACAAGTATATTTTGCCCCTTATACACAGTGAAGAGGATAGTTAGAAATGCAAAACAATTCTCCAAGTATCACAGTCAGAGATTTACAGAAGATTGTGGCATTTTGGGGTCACCCAGTCTCCAAAACTACAATTAGATGCCACCTCCATGTCAATAAAGAAGTCAGAAAGAACACCAGAAGAAAATGTACCTAACAAATGCCTGAAGTTTGCTAGATGCTACTGGAATGTTAAATAGAACTGGGTTCTATAGTCTGATGAGACAAAATAGAGCTCTCTGGCAACAAATGCTCAAGAATGATTTGGAATAAGAAGGATGGTTACACAGAGAAGACCTTCATCACTACTGTTAAGTATGGTGAAGGATCTGTGATGTTCAGAGTCAGTGCTCTGGAGTGGTTTCAGATTCCTTGCTCATTTCATTACTGTGATGTTTGCAAAGGAAATGTTACACAAGGTACAACATTTTGGGGTGCCAATAACTACAACACATGGTTGTTAAAAAATACATTTTTTATGACTTTGTTTTCTTAGAATACATTTACTTCTGTCAAAGGATGTATTTTGTTCATATTTTAAGTGAGAGATTATTTTTAATGATTTTCTTTTATCTTTAGCAAGGGTGGCGATATTTTTTTTATTTTTTTTACAGATAGCCCAAAGAATGTTGTAGTGTCTGGACCATCTGGTGGAATACCTGAGGGTGATTCAGTGAGTCTGACCTGCAGAAGTGATGCAAACCCACCTGTGGAGAGCTACACCTGGTTTAAGAGATCAGGAACAGAGGATATACAAATTGGGACCGGACACAGTTATACCATCGAACATATCAGCATTGAAGACAATCACAAATACAAGTGCAGGGCATCCAACCAGCACGGATCTGCATTCTCAGAATACATGCCACTTGATATTTTATGTAAGTAAATGGCACTTTGTATGTACTGGAACGTTATTTTATGTACATTTTGCACACAATAGTTCTTTAACCCTGACTAAACTTCAAAGCCATCAGATCAAAATTATGTACTTCTAGAGTGCCCAAAGAATAATTCTGAGTGTATAATACCAGCACCCACCCAAACAACCCCACAAAACCACACTAGTGTCATTGCTATGCTGAGAATAGCCCACAATCCAAATAATATCCGTGCAACAGCAGCAGTAGGTAGAAGGAGGCTGATAAACTGTTCATGACAATATATTGCAATATAAGGACTTACCCTAGGTGGAAATCAAACACAGGTCTCATAGTACAGAAGACCAAAGTTAACTGGGTGAGCCACCACTTAGACCAGAAAAAGTGTAGAGCTGAATAGAAAACTCAGTGGAGCTCATGGAAACAGCAGTCAGTGATAAAAACTTAAAAACTAGAACTTTGATAGCTTATAGAAAAGGAAACTCCGACTTACCCCACTGGGAGTGTGAACTGGAAACAGACCCGGAAGTTCCCCTGAGCTGCCACCCCGCTGTCATTGGTAGGTCAGGGATAAGTCAGGAGCTACATGCACATTGCAGGTCAACATCCATGATGTCTGTGAGCACAAACAGCCAATGAGCTGCTCCGCTCTCCAACCAATCAGCACTCAGTATCAGTAATGTCAGCGTCCTGCTGCCCAAAACCTGTTTGCTGTAGAAAAAAAGAAATATATAGGTAAGTTTTCTTTGCTTTTTAGTGAAATAAATCCTTCTACTTTCTAAAATTAAAGGAAGGTTCTGGGCGAGTGATTAGAAACTATTTTAACTTTTCATTTTTAGCCGTTGAGCTCCATTTACTCCCATACATTGAGATTGTTGTAAGAATATTATAAGACTATAAGACTTTATACTAGACGCTTTACTCAAGTAATTTTACTAAATGACATCATCTCACTACAGTGGCAGAGAATTTTGCTTGTTTTAAGAAATATGCTTGTATGGAGAGATAATTTAGTACAGAGAAATATATAATGAATAATGAGATTACTATTTCCAGGAAGTAATAAGTAATATAATCATTACACACTGTAAGAAATAAAGGTTCTGTGCAGGTACAATTTTTGTTCATCAAAGTACAAACAACGTAAAAGTACCCTCAAAGGTACAGCAATGGTTTTAAGGTCCAGTTGTATACCTAATTTGCATTTTCATGAGGTCCTTAGCTCATGGGGTCCCTAGGCAGCTGTCTGCTTTTGCCTAGTGCAAAGACAGCCCCTGTCCCCAAACCTGCTGCTTGTTGTGTTAGATTGTCTCTGGTTTCTTTATAGTGGCTTTCATGTAATTCTTCGCCAAGTGTGCTTTGTTAGTTCTTTGATCTTTGAATAACTTGGCTAATTTTGAGAACAATAACATTTATATCCACTATAATAATCAATAATGGGCCCTCTTCAAAATCACTGAACTCTTGTCATCTAGTTACCTTTACCCAAAATTGAGCTGGGTCTGCTTAACATTTTTACACAGGCCACAGAATACGGTAGGATGTTAATCGTTTATTATGCAAGACACCTGTCTGAAAACATCTGCACTCTGGTCAGATATGTGTCTATTTATCTTTAATCAAAATGCTTGAAAATGTGTCATCAATTACCTAATTATACTAGTTATTGTGAAGTATGCTCATATCACCGTAACTCAACAATCAGTATGTTGCGGTGGCAGTGTACCTTTCTGTTTCCAGAGGAAAAGAAGAATATTTTTTGGGATTATTGGATTATTGGACAGGTAACTGCTGGGTTAGTCCATCAGCTGAATGCTATGGTAAATTGTATGGTCTATGTCTTTTTCTTTTGTTCCGTTTTGCAGATGGCCCAAAGAGGGTGTCTAGCAGACCATCTAGTGAAATACTTGAGGGTGCCTCTGTGACTCTGACTTGCAGCAGTGAAGCAAACCCACCTGTGGAGAACTACACCTGGTTTAAGAGATCAGGAACCAAAGATTTACAAATAGGCTACGGTCAGAATTACAGCATCAGAAATGTCAGTGTTGAAGACAGGTACAAATACAAGTGCAGGGCATCCAACCAACACGGATCTGCATTCTCAGAGTACACAAAACTTCACATTTTATGTAAGTAAAGGGCCATTTCTATCTACTGGCACTCAATGTTTTATGTACAATGTGCACATAAGAGTTTCTTTTAACTCTGACTGAGTTCTAAGACCAGTAGATCAAATTGAAATTCAAATCGTTGTACTTCAGACTCCCCAAAGAAGACGGCAGTGTCCATGACCCTGACATGCAACGCCGATGCTAACCCACTTGTGAAGCACTACACCTGGTATAAAAAAGGTGAAAGTGAACCTGTGGCATATGGGCAGACCTACAGCATCGCCAGTATCACTAAAGAGGGCATTGCGCCATTCTACTGCAAGGCTGGCAACAGAATTGGCCATCACTTTGCACATCCTGTACCAGTCACATGTATAGGTGAGCAGCATTGGCTACTCAATCACATGACTCTGTTTTCTGGTTTAGAGGACTTTAATTGTAGTATTTTAACCTTTTCACTCAGAGGTGTGTCCTAAAGGAAAGGCTGCAGCTGCTGGCATCGGTGGATTCTGTGGAGGACTTGCTGTAGTCGCTCTCTTGAACATTCTATGGATAAGGTGATGTGTCTCTATTTAATATTTAAGCCATTCTCACAGTTACAGTCAAACTCTGTATCCAACTAGCCAACATTTACAGTCAGTTTCCCAAACCTAATTAACCCTAAGTCTAGACTAAAAAGAATTTCTAGGTTTAATCCATGTCTGTGAAACTGCACAAAGCACAGCTTTTAAAGCAATGGTCTGACTTAAACTAGATGATGTCAATGAGCCAAAACATGTTTGGTGTCCAAATTTTGCCTCTTTACTTTAGAGCTGGACCTGTAAGGCTAGCATGGATAACAAACACAAGAAGTCAATAGTCACCCAAACCTCTTCCATAAATATTCCCAAAACGTCTCTCAATCTGCTTAAACTGCATCCAGATCCTCGTTAAGTGTGGCTTAGAGGACAGCATGTCTTATCGTGAACAATAAAAATGAACTTCACTGTGTTGCTGAACCCAACTATTTTAGTCAACACGTGTTGTGACTACCCTTCATATGCATGCCTGTCATGCATTCTATCTATAAACATATCAGGAAAATCAAGATTGACAGTTATTTGTAAGAATAAATGAGACATTGCAGGGCATATGCCAGGGGAGTAAGAATTCATGTGCAATGTAGAGCTGTTGTCATTTATTACCTGAAAGCAGGAGGAAGAAGCAGACAACAAGTGGAAATGATTACAGTAAAGGTGAACACAAAAGGAAGAAGCAGAAGAAGACAGCAATTGAAGATGATTACGAGGTATGTGATCTATTAGAATGTGTGCATCATTATTCATCATGGCCCCCAGGTAGAGTGCAGGATAATGCAGTGCTGTTTAGCCATACAGTTGCAGAGTGAGACAGCAGTGCATGGTGCTGATATACTCTTCTTTCTTCTTCAAATAGAATGTTGGCCCAGAGTCCAAGGACGACACATACACGGCTCTTAATCTGAGGACCAAGTACTCAGGTGATGTGTATGAAGCTCTAACAGTAAGATCCTCAGCCCAAAGACAATTCCAAACATGAACAAATGCAAATATAACTTCCTCTCTGTTGTTCTTTCTTACTATTAGACTGAGAGCAGTGCTGTGACACAGGTGTAGATCCTCTTCTGACTCCAGTAGGTGATTTCACTTGCAATTGCTGCTTCATCAGTTAACCATGTTTTAGTGTTAAATAGAGTTAGCAGTGGGCTGTATACCAGTTCAACCATCCTTTAATTTATCATCTGTCTGTTTGTTCGTCCATTAATGTAATAGAATATGTTAATATACGGACAGTGAGTGTTTCTGTCTGAGTGTTTAGCACTATTACCTGTACTATTACTAGTACCTGTGTTCTTGCCTTAGACTCTGTGGAATCATCATCATCATCATCATCATCATCATAACCATCACAGTGGATACAAACCACATAACAGACTGGACCTACAAAGGAGGAAGAGGAGAAAATCAGAGAATGAGATGTTAATGCTTATGCTTATACACAGTGTTTCTTATAAAGCACGCAAGTTCCACATTTACCTGCTAAAGCTTTGCAACAGCTGTTTGACTTGTGTAGCAAACCAATATATTTGTAAATTAAGTACAGGAGGAAAATACTCAAGTAGTTGTAGTTTGTTACTATATAGTATTGTATTTGGAAAATGTGTACTTTATTTAAGTAAAAACTCTTGTACTCTTACTCGGTTATATTTCTAGAACATACTATTTACTCTTTGCATTGTCATTTGAACCTTGAATGTCCTTGTTACAAATTTCAAAGGCCATGAGATTCATCAGTGCTGTGTTTAAGTGTATTTGAATGTTGACATTAAGAGCTGAAAGGGGTGAATACAAAATAGATTCGCTAGTCTGGGTTACTTATGTGCAGCGTGATCAGTTAATGCCCAGCATTAAAGTTGATTTAATGTTAAGAACAATACAAAAGGATGACTGGATTCTTAATCTAATCTGTCAAAATGTTTATATTTTGCTTTTATGTACTTAAGTATTTATATATTTTATGTTAACTTAAGTACATTTTTTGCCTTTATACTTTCACTTTTGAGTCAGAGTTTGGCAGAGTACTCATACTTAAGTATAGTTTTTCTGTACTTTTCCTACCACTGATTAAATGGCATTCTGGCCTAAAACTAGTATTAATATGGTATATGATATTCAGTTGCTCATTATTTCATACCTCAGCCTCATTAGTTTGACAGACCTTACGGTTTTGTGTCCTTTTTGTGTTTTGATACATCAATATTTTAATATTTATTATAATACCTAGCATGCGTTATGCAAATATTTAGTACAACCACTGGGAAACGCTTCTATCCGCATTAGCCAGCTAGCAGGAAAACATCATTTATCCACCACAACAGGCTTGAGACATCATCAGAAAGAGTCTTTATCTGGAAAATCTCACTCTTAGACTATTGTGGCACCACATTATGCAGGCAAATAGGCATGTTTATAGCAAATGTTGCAATAGTTATGTTTTGGCTGGAGTGCATCTTTTAGTGTTAATTCTTTGTTGCCAAAATATTTTTTTGCTATTTTGTATGAATGTTTCACTCAAAATAAAGTTTAATTTGGAGTACAACACAGCCTCATTGTTATTGGGAGTGCATTTTCTTTTCATATATTTTCAAATATGGAAGCTTCCATTTTAAGGACAGTGCCAAAGCACTGTTTCATCAAATCACGTTTATTGTCACATCACATTTACACAGGTGCGAAGGTGAGTGAAAATCTTAGGTGCCTAGCCCCTTGTAGAATTTAAATGCAAAGAAATACATATATAAGAAGAAAAAAAAGAAATATATATATATATATATATATATATATATCTCGACTAAATATATACACAATATACACTAGTATTGCATTTCCAATGTACACTTGTACATTAATACGTTATGAAATAAAACTATGATATGTACAGTTGTACACATTTCTGTATGTGCAGTTTCCATCCCATTTGCATTAAAGTTGTCTCTCAATATAAATTCAAATGTCTATTAGGCCTATCAATGTTTTAATTCACTCCATATTTGAGACCTACATTGCAAGTTGCCTTGGATGCATGAACATACCAAAGTTCATGGAAAAGCAATGCAAAGTCATTCTGAAATTGTCAGATGTTTGCTGTTTACATTCATAGCTGCTTACAGTTGGTGCACTTGAGTACAGGTGTTGAGAGCAGTACATCATTGTCTTTAAGCAGGCTATATAATAGTATTCTGCGGTATTTCATGTCTTCTCGTTGACTAGTGGTAAATGTTTCTGAAATAACAAAAATTCAGTAGATATTCAAACAAATAGATAAACTTGAGGCTGAATTTAGTGTTTTACTGCTTTCTGCAAGATGTGTCCACAGTTCACACACCGCATACAGAGAGAACGCACCCTTTCATCCTGTGAATTTAAACAAGTGAAGTTGGTGAGTATAAGTTGAGTATCGTATTTAATTGTGAAAGATAAAATGACAAAACAAACGTATTCAACATATGAATTTAGTGTGTATATATTTGTAGTCAAAATGGCTCATTTTTAGGAGATAATTTGTTTAAATATAGGATTAAGATAATCCACTGATATATCTCATTTTACAACCCCTGCAGCAACACACTACCAAGTGCCATACTAAAGTAGACCTCTTTACTGCCAAGGCTAAAATCCTCCACCAAACAATCTGAAGCCTAGCACATTACACTTAACTCAGATACCCAAACGCTCCATCTGACCAACCCCTCGTTCTGAATCTAGCCCCTCTTTATGTCACTGGCATACATACATACCAAGTTCTCTACCCAAACTGCTGCTGTTCTTGTCACTGCTACAGAATCAGCATTTGCAAGACAGAGACTTTTGGACCACTGTCTTTCTCATCATGTGAAGTTCCCTCAAGCATACTCTTCTTACACCTCTCTGCATCCAAGACCCAAAAAGCTTATGAATTGATGCTAGAGTTCTTCTGGGGGTCCAGCCTTCTAGCTTCAGACAGAAGCCACATACTTCCCTCATACTTCCATCATATGCTGAAGGCGTGGTCCATGGATCATTGAAATTTGTTTGGGAACATGCCTGAAACTTCCTCTCCTTCCAATCTTATGCCCTATAATTTCCTTCCTTACCTTACGTTCTCACAATCCCTACCACCATTTCCTCCCTGTTCTTCAGTCCTATGTCAATCCTACCACATTTACAAGGGGGAGGGGGTCCAGCCTTCTAGCTTCACGCAGAAGCCACCCAGAACTCCAGCCCAAGTTCTCAGAGTTTTCTCCCCTCTCTCAATCAATCTTCCCTCATACTACCATCACATGATGAAGGCACAGTCCAAATGCGCAAGTTAATTATACACGTCTGCATATCTTGTGGGTGGTGGAAAAGATTTAGAAACCGGTACTTGAATTAAATGTATATAATGTGTCTGAAAAGGCCAACATTTTAAAGGGGTGCTAATGGGGTTCTGAATGATTTTCAGGGGTACCTGAGCACCTACCACACCCCTGATGCTGCACCTGCTGTCATGCCTGCCATACCTTTCATAAAATACAGAAAACATGGAGGGGCCTCTTTTTGGTTATTATGCTTCTAAACTGTGGAACTCAATTCCACCTTTTATTAGACAGTCAAGCTCAGTGCACACTTTAAAGAGACATTTGAAAAGGCATCTCTTTAACTTAGCATTCAATTAAAATCTGGTATTTATCTTTTTATTTTGATCTGTGTTATTATCTCATATGATTTTAAATGAATACTCATAGTTTTGTCTATTATTATTAAACATTATAAGACTGGGCACAGTCCACTGAAGAGGCAAAATCAGGGGAATTAATAGCTTTTGAATATGGAATGACTAAATCAATTAAATAAAAGGCCTGTCAGTCCACACGCTTCCAGAACATTAAATTAATTAAAATTCCCACACATAAGTGTAGAAATACAACTGTGCAATAAATAATAGACTATTACACATTGATGAAGAAATAATTATTTTGTTTGTTTACATTACATTTTATAATACTGGCACTCTTCATGAAGATGAGCTAAAATCAAAATATCAAATAAACCACAAACGTCTTTGCTTGTCGGCTGCCCTCTTCAAAACACACCACAGATTTTCAGCTGGGTTCAAATCTGGGAACAGAGAGAGCCACTGAAAAACTTTTACTTTGTGTTCCCACAACCATTTCTGTATGGATTTTAACATGTGTTTGGGGTCATTATCTTGCTGAAAGGATTGTCGACAGCTACGATTTAGCCTTCTCACAGAAGCAGACAGATTTGGTTATTTAGTGGATTAATGTTCACAAGAATCCCCGGACCACTATCAGCAAAACAGTATGTAGGACCCACCACCTTATTTGACAGGTGCTTTTCATTGAACATAGTCCCTTTTTCAGCAAATGTTACAATGGTGTGCCATTTTTTTTTCTCATCTGAGTACATCGCACAATACCATTTTTAGTTACATGAAAGGTGTGAGAAGGGCAAGATAATGCTGGTGGCCTTGCGAATGCAGAACTTGTGGTAGGTTCTTCCACTTTTGTGCTTCAAAAGTATTTGATTTAGAATGACCAAATATGTTGGTATTATATATATACAAATATATTGAATTGCTGTTAGCTTAGTGCTAACAAACCACTACAACTCTATAAGGATGCTGTAATTAACTGTAATAGTCACGGTCCGCCAGTGCCATTACTGTTCATTTTCGTGGCGGATGCCATAATATTTGACGTCATGATAGCTAATGAGAGTACAATTAGCAAAAATGTGTAACGAACACTGGCTGAAACTTTACCCCTAGGTTAGTGTTTCTAACGTATCAACAACCCAGTTAAGGGCCTTTTGGCTCCAGCAAGTCTGAAATTGAGGTGTAAATCTGCTGGCTTAACACCCCCCAACCCCAGACTCAGTCAGATTTACAGCTGAATCAAGAACCAGCACCCCTCTCCCTTGACCTAGAGGGCAACAGGACAATGCCTCCTTGGAATATTGGCCACATGGCCCTCCAAAGTCCTGTGGTCAACTTTATCTTAAATAACAGAAAGTACATTTCTAAGGTATATGTCCACTCCAAACTGCAACCATTCGAACTCTTTTTAACCTAAACTAGACATACCAAAAACTCATACGACTTTGGGCGGCAATATTCCAACTTTCTGAATTCCCTAGGGATCTCAAGCATGGACCCACAGCACCCCCAAAGGGTGAAACCGCAAATTACCACATCACCACCGTAAGGACTTGTGCTTATAAGGAACACGAGAAACTTCTTGCTTTGTCTGCTTGATTATCAACATTTATATAATCTGTAAGCAATACTACTTGTTGTATTAATCTTGTTGTTGGGTAGTACCTAAATATTACCTGTATCTTTTTCTACTATTAAGTGCTAGAAATACGTAGAGTATAACTTTGATAACAGGCAGAGACAACCACTTCATTGTAATGAATTTAGACCATTTACGAATATGTATCCTGAATGTGGTTTTCTTTTCTTTCTTTTGTTCCTTTTCTTTCGCTGTCGATTTTATTTCTTCATGCAGTGGGTCATATTCAGATATTATAGGCAAATATTACCTGTGTTCTTTAACATGTGTTGTGTATCAGGTAACAAGGGTTAAACTCTCTCTTATAAATATACCTGAATATCCTAGTT